TTCCTGGCAATGCATCTTACTGACCATTTTTGACCAACTATTCGCAGTCGTGTAGGGCTGAAATATTATACTTGGCCGACCGGATGGGTTAGTAAGTGTCTGCGGTTGATCGTTGTACTAGGTCGAAGAGGAGGTAGAGTCATGGCGAATCCGGTGAAAAATAGCTGTGTGCAAAATTTTATGGATAATGGAGGTTGGGATTTATTTGTCTTGGTATACTTCTCTTGGTTGAGATGGCTTGCCGTCCAGCTATACAAGCTGGAATTATGAATGGCGGTGGGTGCGGTTGGATCCTGCTTGAGGAATCGGTGCAATGCGGGATCCGCAAGAAGATCTTAAAAATAATTTCGTATCACAGATGCACAGGAAGAGACAGAAGAACACTTAGAGTACCGAAAAGTATAGGCATGTATAACTGTAACTTAAACGAACTATATGTTGCATACGTTGACCAGGTGAGCTGCCGAGAAACGTGCAACCGATACAACACCGAAGTCATTTGGTATTGCAACAGAGATTAATACAGAAATGTAGACCACTGTCCTATGTAGAAAGGTCTAGTGCCTAGATCCTGAAAAAATATTAACCCCCAAAGTATCATCGTTACGGACAGCAGGTATACCATGCTGTTTAAAACGTGTGTAGGTGACCGTTAACCGATGAGTTCGAGTGCGGGGCAAAAGGCAATGTTAGGCAAAATCTCAAAATAAACTAAAAATCAAGCACCTTGGGTTATAGTTTTTCTTTCAGCCGATGTTATTCTGAGGCCGACTAGCGATACTAAGGTATAAATCAGGCTAACGGAAAGCCGTGATAGCCGCACAAGCAGAGGCAGCAGCAAACCAAAGCAGCTCAACGCTAGGGCGTAGAAATGGTTGTATTCGAAATTTGTGAATTTACCCAAATGCTACAAAATGTTCGGTGACGGAAATGATAAAAACAAAGGTAAATTATAGAGTACTCGGTAGCGCTACAGAACTCCCCTGCAGCTTGCCCTGGTAAACAATGCTCGCTATGACGCTCATTTACATATTGCGCTAGTTTAAAAGGAAATAAAACAACACCAACGGAACCTGTGTAGATAGGTTCATTTGTAGGGAGCACAAAGCTTCCGAGGTTTGGGGATCGTTCATGCGTTCAGCATCGAGCAACAGGCACAACAAGGTTGTGTGTCGTAGTGTTTGATTCTGAAACATCAAACCTTGGCTCGACGTATGCGGGTTTAAGACGATCGACGCCCACAGGCTCCTTGAATTCAATATCATTCACAAGGAAGTATTTCTGTTTCCGCGGTAGGACCTTGAATGGACGTTCATAAGGCGGTGACTAGAGTATTCGAGCAGCATCAACTCGGATAAAAACGAATGGACAGGTGTGTAGGTCAGGATGTATACGTTGCTCGCGCGTGCTTAGTTGAGGTGGAGTTGGTTTACAGGATCGAAAATGGTGCTTCAGGCTTTCAGCATAGGACGTGGGATGCAATTCGCCGGTGCTTCGTGAGTCAAGTATCATTTCGCCTGGGAGTCCGAGGGTTGTACCGAATACAAGTTGGGCTAGGAAGCATTCTACACCAGTTTTGACGGTACTGCGAATAACAAGAAGAGTAGCTGGAAGGCGTTCAGCCCAACGTGCATCCGGCGAACTTGGTGTAATAACAGCTTTCAGTAGTCTATGCACTCGTTTGACAAGTTTATTGGCAGCAGGGTGATAGGCAGCCATCTGAAAGTGAGTACAATTGAGCAGTCGACTCAAGTCACAGAAAAGGGTGGAACTGAATTGAGATCCTCTGTCAGTAGCGACATTGGCTGGCACACCAAATAATGAACCAACGATGCAAGGAAAGCACGAGCAAGCGTTTCGGAGGATAAACCACGTAAAGGAATTACGTGGGGAAAACGAGTAAATGGATCGACACAAGTTAACAGATAAGTGAAACCTTTAGAAGCTGAAACAGTCCCACTACCTCAAGGTGAAGGGGTTTGAAACTGGCTACGGGGAGTGAAAAGTGCCAGGAGTTGTAACGGTGTCTGTGAACCTTGATGGTTTGACAAGTAAGACAGCTTATGGCCCATTATCGGATGTCTGTTCGCACATTGGTTCACATGTAACGGTCGGTAATTAGCTTCACAGTAGATCGATTACTAGAGTGTAATAATCATTGAAGATTGTCAAAGACCGCTCGCCGGTAGGACTGTGGAATATACGGTCTAGGTTTACTGGTAGAAATATCGCAGTAGATTCTTGCATCAGAATTGGGCACGGGCACTTGCAAGAGTTTTAACGAAGTGTTCTCTCGAAGCTGTGTTAATTCTGGTTCACTAGCTTGGACAACTGACATTTCCTCTAGAGTGATGGGCGAGCGTAAAATCTGATGGATGTGGGCACGGCATAGTGCGTAGGCAACAACATCAACATCAATGTAACGAATAGCAACCCAGAATGGGGAAAGATAATCAAGGTGTCGAGTCTTTAGGAGAGTAACGGTCAAAAGTTGCACGAAAAGCATGCACAAGGGACTTATGAGCTTTCAGGATGACAACACCTCTACCCTGAAGAATGTGACGAAAGTGCTTTAGAGCCAGGTACATAACAAGGAGTTCGCGTCAAAAGGTACTGTAACTGGTCAGCGTAGGTTGAAGCCTCCGTAAGAAGAAAAGACAAGGGTTGAATTTTGTTACCCACGAGCTGCTGAGACACGGCACCAACGGCGGATGGTGAAGCGTCTGTCTTGAGAATGATAGACACGTTGTCGTCCGTTCTCAGCTAAACGAGTGAAG